GGTTTAGTATAAATGGGATTTGTTAGGACGGAGCGAATGCGGGGGGACGGGGGGTTTGGATTATATAAACACCCCAAGAGATTATTAGATTAGACCCTGTGACATCACAGCTGTGCTGGCATTTCAATCCTCCCATCTGGTGCAGTCATCAATATGACAAGTAAGGGGAGGGGGATGGATCAGACGGCAGGATTTGGGCTAACAGGTGACATTAATGGACAGGCTACAGAGGGGAGGGTGGGGGGAGTTTTAAAAAAAAAAAACCCGCATTTATAACATTGATGTGTTAAAAGAAATGTCATTTCCCCCCCCCCCACGTTTGACCATATTTTTTGTTTTTGAAAAAAAAAGTTAAAGCGTCCAGTTTCAGGAAACGCCACTTGGACGTTTCTATAGTTTATTCTATTTGTGTTATTAAAACAAAACCATTTTTGAACATTAGCTGCATATCTATCGCATGTTCGTGTAAATGCCCTCAACCCTGACTGTAACACAGATCTACACACGTAGGCAGGACTACGGGTCCTTATTATAGTCATTGGCCCCACCATAGCCGATCTTGGGCGGGTGCACAGCTCCCAGGCACTCTGAGTAGAGGCGCATTGTGGGGGTAGGCTCTGCCCCTCTCGCTAAGCTTCACCTCCAGTCTGAAGGCCCTCAGAGCTCCAGGAAGGCTGGCTGGGCGGGAAGGTGAGCACCCATAAAGGGGTGGAGGGAGGGGAGCTACATAAGGGCACAGGAGGGGAAGGGGTTAAAGATGACACAGGAGGGAAGGGAGCTAAGAGGGCACAAGAAGGGGAGGGGCCAAAAGTAAACACACTGCATCCCATGCACACCCACACAGAGACACACACCACATCCCCTGCACAGACGCAGACACACACTGCATTCCCAGCAAACACTCAGACACTATTCACTACACACACTGCATAGCATAATGGATGTGGTCGTGTTTTGGTGTGCATGCCATTAGTGAGGAGCATTTCATCCATTTTTATTTTTTACGGTACACCTGAGGTGGAGTATTGGGCAAGCTTAATTTCAATTATAGGAGGGGTTATCAAATGTATTTTGGGTTAAAGTCCATAGTCCACATAGCAACGCCCCTGGGGATGGGATAGAGCCAAAAGTGGAAGAGAATGGTGAGATAGGTCACACAGGGACATTTAGAAAAATAAACAATGCATGCACACACAATAACATCCAGTGAAAGACCCTCATATATACAAACACACACACACACACACATCTTACAAATACATTGCACTTACTAACACATTTCATACAAATATTCAATAACTGCTAGGGGTCGACCGATTATCGGTCTGGCCGATATTATCGGCCGATATTTGGTATTTTCCTCAATATCGTATCGGCCAATAGAGATACTGATATTGTTGATAATACATACCAGGACCGCCGGGCTCATTACAAGCACGGCGGTCCTGGGGGGGCCCGCAGCAAGCTCTTATTTACCTTCCCAGCAGCTGCCTTCAGCTCCCTGTGTAAATCTCACGAGTCCCGCGGCTGTCAGAGCGGTGCCACAGGGGAGCTGAAAGGAGCTGCTGGGAAGGTAAGTAAGAGCTTGCTGCGGGCCCCCACTGCACAGTCCATTCCACCGGACCACCAGGGAATGTCAGTTAACAAGCACGGAGGGGGGACTAAAATAAATAAATAAATAAAAATATATATTTTTAATTTTTTTTTTTTTTTTTAAATAAATACCCCCTCCACCCAAAATACATTCATTATATACACACACACTGCATAAACACACACACTACATTCATTATATACATACACACACTACACACACACTGCATTCATTATATACATACACACACTACACACACACTGCATTCATTATATACACACACACTGCATTCATTATATACACACACACACTGCATTCATTATATACACACACACTACACACACACACACTGCATTCATTATATACACACACACTACACACACGCACACACTGCATTC